ATTTCCCAGAGAAGAGTAGGGAAAATAAAGGTGATATATAAGCATGGGTGTGGGCTCCTCAGTCCAGAATCACAGAGAGTAAGACATATCCAAGTGTGGGTATAGGCTTTTGAAGGGAGAGTTCCAATTAAGTGTCTTAATATTAGCCATAAGTGCTGTTTTGGTGACTCTCAAATTACACCTCGATAACTTACTAAGAAATCTTTTCATATTTTCTTTATTTTCTTTCTATATTTCCATAAATGTGGCAAGCGAGGTAGCTTGATGGTTACAAGATAAGGTAAAGGCAAAACCTACTAAGGTTGCACAGGGGCTTAGGACACGGACTCTCCTCGTGAATGATCATTCTGGTGGGATTTCTGAAGCGAATTCCTATTCCTAGGAAGGAATTCAGGAGTTAAGTAACTGCTGATTGTGCTGGAATTCCTGCTTCTCTACTGGCAAGAGACCTCAACCAGATTCCTCTGTGAGGGGCTCCTCTCTCTCCTCAGGTTCCCATAAATTTTGTCTTTCTAGCCAGCAACAGGGCAAGAAAGCACTAGGTAAGTCTGAATTCAAGCTTGTTGCTAGACTTGTAGATAAGCATTTCTTCTGTCAGGCTCCAGGGATTCCAACAGTCATGCTTAGGATCTGGCTTAACAGGGATAGTGGGAACAATCTCTATTCCTCAGAAAAAAAATTCCACTATTTAAAAACTCAGCTGGGATTGTAGTGAGAGAACAGAACCCTGAGAATAAAAGCCACTTGCTAAAATGTCCAATAAATGACTTCATTAGTCATGTTGGATAGACTTTAAAATAAAAACAAAAACAAACAGAATAAAGGGAACATAGATGACATGAGCCATCCTCTAAGCCTGAGAGTCATCCTGTAAGCCTTTGCTATGGTGGCCTCGGTTCTGTGCCTCCTGAGGGTGAAAGTTTTATTTGTTCTATGCTTTCCTCAGAGTAGTTGACACAGTATGGATTATCACATCTTCAAGAGGTTTCCAGCTGTCTTCCTTGACTTGGATGCATCCTAACTGAACTAATTTGCACCTCTTCACTACAGAACAGTCAGTTCCAGAGCAAGCCCTTCTTCGGCCCCTCAGTTATGCCAGCTGCTTAAACTGATCCAGGATACTTATGGATGTAATAAAGATGCCCAGCAGTGAATGCTTTTCTCCAGGGATGCCAGGATATTGGACGGCTAATATCAACCACTGCAAAGACACGATGGTGATAGCAGGTGAATCCTTTAGTGCTGCATATATTTTATCTCTTCTTTTAAAATTTAATTTATGTGTCTTCGTGAGTACCTGCCAGTATGTGTGTGCACTTCATGAGTGCAGTGTCTGTAGCCACGTGGGTGCTGAGAACTGAACCTATGTCCTTCGCAAGAGCACAAGTGCCCTTAACTGCTGAGGCATCTCTTTAGCCCCTATCTTTTAAACTGAACACAATAAATTCTTCCCACCAACCCCTGTTTTCTCTGCTTCAAATGTCCTCCATAAAATTTTATAATTTCTGTTTGGTTGTAAAGCTTAGCTCTTAGAAAGAAAGGAATTATTTTAGCTTTCTTCACCCCTGTATCATGATGGTGCATGCTCATGGAATGTGTCTGAATCCTCTTATAGAATAAGTAAATGGAATGTCAGAGATTATATTCCAGAATTCTCTCAGGGCCAGTTGGATCATCACTAATGCCCTGAGAAGGCCTGGAAATCAGCTCCATCTGAGGAAACAAGATGTGGTTCAGCTAGATAGTGTCTCCTCACCTTATCCCTGCCTATCCTTGCACTCCTGAACCAACCTTAACTACATGCCATCAGACATCCTCTGGTTTGATTTTTCCACATAGACCTTTCAGAAGTGGCTGGGGGCAGAGGCAGCCATAGTTCTATGACTCAAGCTTCTGTTATATGACAGGTCCCAGAAGGGCATCAGTTAAATTATTCTTCTAAAAGAACAAAATTATTGAGACCTTATCACACACATTTCTTCAAAAGAGCATATACTAAAAGCTGTAGTCAATAGGTTGTTATTAACTAAAGTCATTGTTATTGTCTATTTGGAGACTTGGCAAGTCTCTCACTTTGACTCTCAGTTTCCTAACTTGGTGAACAAATGTCAAAATTACAATGTAGACTCTCCTAGCATAGAGTTTGGACCACAATTTTGAGAAACATAATTTTTAATGCTGTAATGCCTAAAGTTGGAATCCTGAAAGATCCCAGAGGTCTAAAATCTCACAAGATTAAGATAAAAGCATTCTAAACTTTTGTTTAAAATGTACTTTCTTGTAAAGAAGACTCTCTCAAGGAATATATAAAACACTATAGAACAGTCATAGGCCACTTGCTACAGTAACAGACAGTAATAGCACACACACTCCTGAAAGCATAGACACACAGGTTCAGTGAGACAGTAGCACAGACACAACAGCTCTGACAGACAAGCTGAAGTCATGAAGAAGCAGCTCAGAAAGCAGAATGTGCTGATGTCTAGAATTCCAGTTGGGAAATGTTCACACAGCTTCATAACTTCAGTCATCCCAAATACTACAATGGACAGACAGGTCTAGTCTTCTCACGAGCTGGAGCAAAACCTGATGGGCTACCACCACATGCAGAGTTGTCCTCTAAGCTGAGATCTTAAGAAATTTAATTTACACAGATGTAGGGGTTCTTAGATATGTTCTCATTTGTTGGGCGCACAGACAGTGTGACACACAGCATTAGCAACTGTAAAATGCACTTCAAGGGCTACACTTGCAAGAAGATATGTGAGACAAATTATAACTTTCTAAAAGTCTTAACACAATTCATGGTGACAATAGCGGAACTGGGGGGGAGTATAACACGCACAGTGCCTCTATTCAGGAAAATTGTGTTGGCAATTTAGAATAGTGAAAAGGGGAAGAAAAAGAAAATGTGTTCCATGAAAAGTGAAGAGTGCTTAGGAAAAATCACAGGCAGCTGAGTGGACATGGTCTGAAGGTGCAGGACAGCTTTCACGATTGATAAGTGTGTTTGGAAGTGTCTAGCTGCTATCCACAGCTGCTGTGAAAGAGGGACACAGATCTCTGCAAAGACCTTCACATTCATTTTCCCAGAAGCTGACCTTTTCCCAGCCATTAGTGTGGCTTTAGGCAGCAGGGTTTTCAGGGCTCAGTGTGTGGATTATGATGCTGGAACTGATGTCTCTCCTGATTAAAAGCAGCACTGCCTGGCACAGAGCCAACTTCCAAGAAACAGAGCAAAGGACACTCAGTTTAGTGAAGATTCATATTTTTTTAAAAAAGTAACAATCACCATTTTGAGGTCTAAGAACAAGAAATATCATCTTCTATCCCATATATACCAAGACACTTATTTCAGTTTTATAATAAAGATAATATAAAAAGAACAAAAATGAAATCTTATTGTTTTTCAAAGCCACAAGAGAAAATCATAAATAATACTATGACTTTAATATAACTTTAGATGAATAAATAACTAGCCAAACACTAAAAGCACTTTAATTCCTCCTTAAGATTCGGAAACATACATCATGAAATCCCTCATTTTTGCAGAAAAAGAAATGATAATATAATGATTCAGGAGTGTTTCACAAACTTCCACAGTGAAATGAGCCCATCTTGTGGCCTTTTAGAATATTACCGTTTTCAGTAAATGGTTGCCTGCTGACTGCAGATGACAGTCATGCAAAGTGGTAAGCTAACTGCTGGGACACGGAGTGAGAACTATAATGGGGTGGGGAGGTGGCTTACCGAAAGAAGAAGCAGATGTGGAAGCAAATGCTACAGTTTGGTTGCGTTGTTACATAAAGCTATAAACTTTAATTGCTATGTAGCAGTTTGAGGCATGGGTCCCCAGAACTCAGCATAAAGTTGATACACCCTACTCCCATAAATAATGATCCTAACCCCAAAGCACTTGTACTATTGGAGGGTGTATTAATATTAATTTCCAGTCTGCCATTTCGCAAAGAATGAGTTTTGAGTTTTCGCTATCGAGTTTTGAAAGCGAGTACGACCACAGAAACCTGAGAACACCCAACTGCCAGCATCCCCTTAGAGTGTACCCTCTGCTACTTCCCAACAGGCTTCCTGTGTGTTCCCTGTCAGTAAGTTCCTTTCTCCCTGTGCCCACTCATAATCTTAGCCTTCAGGAAATGGAGAGGCAAATATTTATTTTGAGAAATTTAGGAAATGACAAGGAATATTTTAATTAGACAAGAGAGGAAGCAAGAATCCCATCATTTAGAACCTTATGGATTGGAAGACAAAAATGTAATAGAAGGAAGGGAAAGGAGATAAGCTGGCTTGGAGGCTCTGCGGGAAGATGAGAAAGTATCTGCCTGAAAGTAGAATTTCCTGTTCCAGGCTCTGGGGAGGTATCATTATGCCAAGAGATATCTGGGTAGCATGGTGAGTTACAGAGGGGGCTGACCCTCTGCTCCTGAGATGAAAATCCAGAGGAGAGAAAACTGGTCTTTCATGCTGCAGTTGCAGGGTAAGTGCCCTTGGCCCAGGCTAAACTGAGAATGTAATGGAGAAAGAAATGGATCCCATCCCATCAAGGATAAGTCAATAGCAAGAGGACTCAGAATCAGAGCTCCACCAGCCTGTAGAGTAAAGTACAGGATTACCAAGAAAGAGGCAGGCAACAGAGCCTAGCAGAACACAAGAAGCAAACACAAATCAGCCACATCTCAGCAGATGACAGTCATTCGCATCTAAGGAAAAACAGCAAGATCAAGCGTGTGATGTAGGTTCCTTCCACGCACCCGCGCACCTGCACCTCGGCTTCTTCTGTGCAGAACACAGCCTTCACTTGCTTTCACTATACCCTACATGTCTCACTCAACAAAGAGACTCTCCCTAAACAGCCGTCTTCCTTAAAGCGCATAAGAGAAGGGAGTGAGGAAAGGCTGACTTTTTTAAACTATCCTTTCCTGATGTTAATGAGTCTGAACACAGGGTTTCATTACAAAACTCAAATTAAGAAATAATAATGATCTGCCCCTAGAGGCCTTGCAGGTGAGGCTGCTGTGTCACATGTGTGTCAGCAAGTGGCAGAGAAGAGAGAGGCCATGTCTTCACTCAGAGTTCTGGCCTATGAACATCTGAATGATTGATTAGTAGCCTAACATTCCCTGCAAAAGTGAGCTTAAGGCAAACACCAGTCGGGCTTCAGGGCGCCTGCACAGGGAGCTAGCCTGAGAATACCCCAGTCCAGCTCCATCCACCACGCAAGTTGATAGCCCACAAGTTGATAGGGCCTAGCATTCCTGAGACCACTCCCTAGATGACCCCAGACACTCAGAGTCCCTGGGCACCACTAAGAGGAGCAAGTGAGTGGTGGACAAATGGAAGAGAGAGAAACAGAAAGATGTGGGCACAATGAAGACAGGCAGAACTGGAGACTCAGGGGTCGTGAGGAACAGGGTGACGTGAGTAGTTGGTGATGCCTCCTGGCACCATCGTGGAGTCCTGGCCTGTGCTGCCACCCACCGGGAGCCAGTCTAGGTCAGTGGCCCTAAGGCATCTGTTACTACCAATGGACTGCCACCTGGGAGACATGTTGATATGTGAGAAACTGTGCAGAACTGACCCCACCCCTAACCTGGGCATCATGGGAAAGCTGGCCCTGGGGCCATGAGAATAGGAGAGTTGACGCTGCCCCTAGCCAGCTACAGTTTTGTGGGAGCGCACACACCCCTGCTGCCACACTTTGCAGGATTTGTGTGTGAGCTGGCCCCTCCACTTGTCTGCCATGTCCCCACTCACTCCCTGCCACCTACAATGGCAGGAGAGCTTGCAGCAAGTCATCAGAGCAGGATAGCTGATCCTGCCCTCACCGGCTGCAGCACTGGGAGAGCGGGCCAAACTTCACCTGGGCAGCCCAGTAGGGCTGTCTCTGGATGCAGGGGCTGCAGGTCCCAAGAGCATGAGTGTAAGAGCCAGCCCTGCCTCCTGCCTGCTGTGTGCTGGCCCATCTCCCTTGCCATCTATGGCATGCAGGAGGGCTGGCCCTGGGTCATGAGAGAGGGAACAGAGTGGCCTGTCCTTCACCCACTGCAATACTCTGGAGACCAGGTCCTTCACTTTACCTGGGCAGCAGGATAGAGCTGGCCATGGTTGCAGGGGTTGCTGGTGAGCTGTCCCAAAGGGCATAAGAGTGGGAGAGCTAGTGGGCTTATATTTCTCAAGCCCTGGTCCAAGGCTTTGAATTGGCCACCCCAACATCTACCCCATAGAGTATGTAACGGCCAAGTACTACAGAACAAAAGCCACAGGATCTTCATAACAAAGGGCAATAACAAGATATCCAAGAGGAGTCACAGTAGGGTTCCAGTTTTGAGAGAATAGAAGCCAGAGTTCTCCCATCAGTAACTACAATAAACATTTGCAAGCAAAGAGGTATGGACAAAAGGTGTGAGACATACTTTGGCACACTACAGCTTCCACAAGATTTTTTCTTCTCTGTTGTGGGAGAGATTGCAAGGGTGGAGGGCAGGTACTAGTGGTGGGAGAGATGAGTGGGATTGGGGTGCATGATGTGAAATTCACAAACAATAAAACATTTTTTAAAAGAAATACGATTGAAGGCAATAGAGAAAAATAAATTTTATGACAGCATTGGTTGTTTGATGGAACTGTTCAAGATCTAGAATTTTCTTTTTTTCATTTTTCTCTTTTCTGTCAACTGATTCAACAAATACTTTGAATACCTATCTTCACCAAATGTCATAGAGATAATTGGTACAAATATAATTTAAAGGATGAAGGATTTCTTCCTTCCTCCAGGGTTTTCTAATCTGGACAATTGATGAATTTTTTTCAACAATCTGCTCAACAAGCAAGGTCGATCTCTGTCAGAGCACCTCAAGCAGTGATGAAGTGCTGGACATTAACAGTGGGACCAGAAACTAATGAACAAAGGGAAGGATTCCATCACATAGCATCTCAAGCTGTGATGAAGTGCTGGACATTAACAGTAGGCATAAAGTATCACTGTTTCAGCAAGACATCCCTTGACTTGGAGCCATGAAAGGAACGAGTAGGTGATGACTTCGTGACTTCCTTAAACCCAATAGGCTATAAGGTTGCCCTCTCAAAGACATTGGAGACATCCCATACAAGCAACTTAATGGCACACCTGAAAGCCCTAGAGGGGAAAATGAAGCAGACACAATCAAGACCAGTAGAAAGATGGAAATATCAAACTCAGGGATGAAATCAATAAATTAGAAACAAAGAAAACAAAGAATCAATGAAACCAAGAGCTGGTTATTTGAGAAAATAAACAAAAAAACAAGCCCTTAGCCAAACTAACTGAAGAGCAGAGAGACACTATCAAAATCAACAAAATGAGAAATTAAAACGAGAGGCATATTAACAGACGCTGAGAAAATCCAAATAATAAGTAAGACATAAGTCTTACTTCAAAAGCCTACACACCACAAAATCTGAAAATATAAATGAAATGGACAATTTTCTTGATGTATTCCACTTACCAAAGTTGAATCAATATCAGGTAAAAAAAAAAAAAATTAAATAGTCCTATATACCCTAAGGAAATAGAAGCTAGCATCAAAAGTCTTCCAACCGAAAAAAGCCCAGGGCCAGATGGTTTCAGTGCAAAATTCTACCAGGCTTTCAAAGAAGAGCTAATACCAATACTCTTCAAACTAGTCTAAAAAATAAAAATGGAAGTAACATCACCAAACTCATTCTATGAGGCCACAATCACCTTGATACCTAAACTACACAAAGATCCAACAAAGAAAGAGAACTTCAGACAAATCTATTCTGAGCATTGATGCAAAAATGCTCAATAAAATACTCACAAACTGAATCCAAGAACACATAAAAGAAATCATCCATTATGACCAAGTAGACTTCATTCCAGGCATGCAGGCATGGTTCAATATATGGAAATATATCAATGTAGTCTACCATATAAACAAACTGAAAGAAAAAAAATCACATGATCATCTCCTTAGACGCCAAAAAAGGATCTGACAAAATCCAACACTCATAATGTTTAAAGTCTTGAAGAGATTGGGGATACAAGGCACATACCTAAACATAGGGAAGGCAATATACAGCAAGCCTGTAGCCAGCAAACTAAACTGAGAGAAACTTAAATCAATTCCACTGAAATCGGGGGCAAAACAAGGCTGCCCACTCTCTCCTTATCTCTTTAATACAGTACTTGAAATCCTAGCTAGAGCAATAAGACAACTAAATGAGCTCAAGGGGATAAAAACTTGAAAGAAAAAGTCAAAGTATCACTGTTCACAGATGATATGATACATTTGTGACCCCAAAAATCCTACCAGAGAACTCCTTCAGCTGATAAACATCTTCAGCAAAGTGGCTGGACACAATATAACTCAAGAAATGAATAGTTCTCCTATATACAAAAGACAAATGGGCTGAGAAAGAAATTAGGGAGACAACAGCCACAAAAAAAAAAAAAAAAAAAAAAAAAACCTTCAAATCTCAGAAGAAAGAAATTGAAGAATATATCAGAAGATAGAAAGATCTCTCATCCTCATGGATTGTTAGGATTAACAAATTAAAAATAGCCATCCCACCAAAAGCAATATATAGATTCAAAGCAATCCCCATCAAAATACCAACAGAATTCTTTACAGACCTTGAAAGAAGAATTCTCAATTTCATATGGAAAAACAAAAAAACTCGAAATAGCTAACACAATCCTGTATAATAAAATATCTGCAGGAGGTATCTCTATCTCTGATCATAAGCTGTACTATAGGACAACAGGAATAAAAACTGCACGGTACCGGCATAGAAACAGACTGGTAGATCAATGGAATCAAATTTAAGACCCAGAAATAAACCCTGGAGACACTTGATTTGTGACAAAGAAGCCAAAACCGCACAATGGAAAATAGATAGCATCTTCAACAAATGGTGCTGGTCTAACTGGATGTCCACATGTAGAAAATGCAAATAGATCCATATTCATCACCCTGCAATAAACTAAAGTCCAAGTGAATCAAAGGCCCCAAAATAAAACCAGACACACTAAATCTGTTAGAAGAAAGAGTAAGGAAGAGCTTTGAACTCATTGGCACAAGAGATAAATTCCTGAACAGACCACCAATAGCTCAGGCTCTAAGATCAACAATTAGTAAATGGGACCTCATGAAACTGAAAGGCTTCTGTAAAGCAAAGGACACTGTTGTCAGAACAAAACGACAGCCTACAGACTGGAAAAAGATCTTCACTAACCCTCCATCCAACAGAGGGCTAATATCCAAAATATATAAAGAACTCAAGAAATTAAACTTCAATAAACCAAATAATCCAATTTGAAAATGAAGTGCAGAACTAAACAGAGGATTCTCTGCACAGGAATATAGAATGGTGGAGAAACATTTAAAGAAATGTTCAGTGTCCTTAGTCATTGGGGAAATGAAAATCAAAACAATTCTGAGATTTCTTCTTACACCCATCAGAGTGACTAAGATCAAAAACTCAAGTGACAGCACATGTTAGTGAAGATGGGGAGAAAGGTGAACACTCCTCCACTGCTGGTGGAAGTGCAAACTTGTACAAACACTTTGCAAATCAATCTGGTGCTTTCTCAGAAAATTAGGAATAGTGCTACTTCAAAGCCCAGCTATACAACTCCTGGGCATATATCCGGAAGATACTCCACCATACAACAAGGGCATTTGCTCAGCTATGTTCATAGCAGCTTTATTCATAATAGCCAGAATCTGGAAACAACCTGGATGTCTATCAGCAGAATAATGTGTTCAGAAATTGTGGTACACTTACACAATGGAATACTACTCAGCTATTTAAAAAAAAAAAAAAAAAAGGAAATAATGAAATTTGCAGGAAAACAGATGAAACTAGAAAAGACCATCCTGAGGGAGGTAACCCAGAACCAGAAAGACACACATGGAATTTACTCACTTATAAGTGGATATTAGCCATGTAATATAGGATAACCATACTACAATCCACAGACCTAAAGAAGCGAAATAATGAGGACCCTAGGGAGGATGCTTAATTCTCATTCAGAAGAGCAAATAGAATAGACACTGGAAGTGGTTGAAAGAGGGAGTAGGATGGGAGCCTATCATAAATGTCCTCTGAAAAACTCC